GTCAGAAGCCATATCTGCTGCCCTGCTTTAGAAATCCTGATCCAACTAAAGCGAGGAAAATTGATAACATTATTCCCGTCAAATCTCTCCGCTGGCTACCGTGTTCTGTTCATTATCAATTTTAATCATGGGTAGAAAGTAGCTAATTATATTTACTCGTGATGCTGTAGTGGAGTAGCTTCTTGTGTATTTATACTTTTTAAGTTGTTTTTCAAATCTGTACTTTTACTTGAGTATGATTTTTAAAAGAATTGTACTTTGCTACATTTTCAATAATATCCATTACTGAGTAAAAAAATAGAGGCTTAATAATAAATAAATAAAAAATTGCACATTGCAGCGTCGGAACAGAAAGAACCAGACACTTGTGTGACACAGCTGGTGCTAGTAATGCCTGTGCGCCCAAGGCGTATTTTGACAGGATGGAAGTTGTGGGACCCTTAAAGGTTAAATACGGAACACGGACAATCTGGCAAACGCTGGTGTTTAGAGGTGGAATTGCAACAGCAGGGCACATTTTCCAGTCGCTTGGATGTTGGTTCACTGCTCACATGTTCCAGCACCATGTTCAGAGAACAAACAGACAAGATACGGACATCTTCTGGGCTCAGAATCAGCTGCTTGACTTGTTAAGTAACCATTTTACACAGTCTCAGCCTCACCTTGCTGAGCGGACTTTTTAGTGCAACGGTGCCCTGTAGTGGCTGGTAGATGTAAACGTAAACTGTGTCGTGCCGGAGGAAAAAAAATAATTGATTATTTATCTTTTTTAATATAGCTTTTAAATTAATTCTGCACATCTCTGAACGCCCCACGGAAGTATCATTATTTTTTTAAATATAGTTTTTTATTAAAAAGTTCTATATTCTAACTTTGAGGATTCTAGTTGGATGGTTGGAGGATTTTATAGCAAGATTGGATTGAACAAATGGATTTCAATCCAAGGATGAACTCTGCTAACTTTAAAAATCAGCTGCTCTAAATAAGCATGAAGGTCAGAGAGGAGCTCTAGGATGGACATGGATAAAGGAACTGTAATGTAGAGGTGAAGTAGGGCAGGGCCAACGTTAGCAGCTGGCATACGCTCCATCTGAAGTAGACTTTCATTTGGCTTGTTACACTGTGACAGGTTAGAGTCTCATGTTAGAGGTTTGTCATCAGAACATTGAGATACCTCACACGCTGATGGCATCTAAAAATATTAATTTTTTGTCAAAATAAAGAATAATTTTAATTACATTAGAAATGTACAATCCTGGAAAAACCTTACCTAATGAATGTGCACATCCTGAAAACTTACCTGTTCAAGCTGGTTTTCTCGTTGTTCTGCTCTCTCCACCTATTCCAACTTCCTCAGGATCCACTAATGTCCCTCTTTCCTATTCACTCTCCTTCTTTACATGTTTTAATCACAATTGTCTATTTTTTGCTCATTTTAAATATATTTTTTATCATTTTCTAATTTTTTTTATACTTTTACATTTTTTGTTTTTATGAAGCGCCTCGTGATTTTTATCTTGAGAGGCGCTATAGAAAATATCTTTTCTTCTTCTTCTGTTCTCACGGATTGGATCAAAGTCCCTCCATCCAAGTGTGTGTGTGTGTGTGTGTGTGTGTGTGTGTGTGTGTGTGTGTGTGTGCATGCACAAGCGAACACGTTGTGAGCTGGCATGGTTTTGCACTACTTACGTAGATGTAGCCATCCTTACGCTGAAAGTAACTTTTGCTTTGAGTACTCTTTATTTACGATACTTTTTACTTTTACTTGAGTAAAAATTTAGGCAAGTACTTTTACTTTTACTTGAGTAAAAAACATCAACAAAATACTGGTATTTAAGTAGAAAATTGATATTAATGAAACGGGACAAAATTTGCCAGATGCTGATTTCACCATCATTTACTGTTTTGGAACGCCCCCCCCCCCCCCCCCCCCCCCAAGCTGTTGAATTCTTACAGAAAGCTTTTAATGAGGTCCAACAAACACTTCTGCAGTTAAAGACTAAGCTAATGTTGTTTTCAAACTCTAAAGAAGACCTCTAAATATACCCTCAGTCAAGGCCGGATTAACCATACGGGCAACCGGGCAATTGCCCAGGGCCCACGAACTCTAAAGGGCCCTGGCCCAGGGCAGCAAGGAGCAAAATACTGTATCTGTAATCTCCCGCTTTATATTACACTAACTGTCCACCGGGCTTTTGCGCTGCACGGACGCTTTGCTGCCTGTGACTTTGAACGTCAGTTGAGAACGGTTGAGAGTCAGCCTCATGCAGACTGACCAATGAGGAGAGGGCCTCAAGTTAAGACCCTCTCTCCTCATTGGTCAGTCCACACGAGGTGGGTCAAAGGTTACGCCGAGCGGGTTACGTGACGTCAGGCGTTGCTATAACTGAAAAAAAATGATCAGACATGGAGAAGCTAAGTGGCGGCGCGAAACGGAAATTAAAAAAGGAAAAGGGCATCAGAAACGCAGAAAACTTAAAGTATATACCTAAAATAGGTAACTTCTTTACTGCTGTTAAGTCAGCTTCCGTCAACGACGAGGACTCAGCTATCCAGGGCTTTTCTACACCGCCAGCACCAGCTTACGCTTACCGCCCGGAGAGCAAAGAGCCAGCAGCAGCAACTTCAAGCAACAAATCAGAGGCAGCGAGTCTGATCGCTGAGGAAAGCGGTGATGGCGGGTCTCTAGTTTCGCCGCCACCGGAGTTGCTTATCGAGTCTGGGAGCAACCCCTGGATCTCAACGCCTCTACTCCCACGGGATCCTGCACTGTGGGGGGCCGTTACAGAGCGGCTACGGGAAGAAGCGATTTACCGAGGGCCTGCAGCTTTCCAGAACCGGGCCGCCAAGTATCCTGCATCGGTAAGGGAGTCCGGACTTGGAAGTAGAACACGCTCCCTCACCAATGATTTGCTTCACTGCCGGCTTCCAAACAATCAAATTGTGCCAAGAGAATGGCTTCTTTACTCGCCATCAACTGGATCAGTTTATTGTTATGCCTGCAAACTTCTGTCATCCCAGAAGCATGCATTCATCAGCGGATTCTGTGATTGGAAACATCCAGAGAGGGTTAGTGATCACGAAAAGAGTCCAGAACATAGACAAAACATGCTGTCTTTATTGCACAGATCTAAATATGCATGCCGAGTGGACGCTTCTCTTGCCCGACAGTGTGAGTCAGAACAGCAGTACTGGAAGGAAGGACAACGAACTGCTGGGCTCTGCGCACAATGGGAACGGTTTGGGACTGCTTGAACTCATAGCAGAGTTTGACCCCTTTTTAAAAGAGCACCTTGAGAAACATGGCAATAAGGGTAGAGGTAAGCCATCTTACTTGTCATCAACTGTGTGTGAAGAATTTATTTCATTAATGGGTGAAAAAACTAAGCAAGTGATTGCAGAGGAACTCAAACGTGCAAAATATCTCTCTGTAATCGTTGATTCAACACCAGATTTAGCACATGTAGATCAGCTCACATTTGTTTTTCGTTTTGTCAGTGCAGATGGCAGAGTAGTGGAAAGATTCCTCGGGTTTGAGCCCACCCACAGCCACACAGGTGCCAGCCTAGCTGAATCTGTGATTGAAATGGTGCGTCATTTGGGGTTAACTCTTTTTTTGAACTGCTGCAGTCTCGGTATAGATTTTGTAGTGCATCAACACATCGCTGGAATACAGTTTTCAATGACAGCGAACATAACATTAAATACACTTTTAAATCCCTCAGCACCACCCGATGGAACTGCAGAGCAGACTCCACAAAAGCTCTCAAAGTAAATTACAGGTCAATTAGAGATATATTAGCCAACATATCTTTAGACTGTGATGAGAAAACACAAACTAAACTCGAAGCTGCTGCATTGGTCTCAAAACTTGATAAACTGGAGACGGTAATGATGACTATGATGTGGGACCGGGTACTGCATAGGTTTAAGGCAACAAGTGACCAAATCTAAAAAAGTGACATGGATTTAGCTACTGCTCTTGGCCTTTTGCGCTCACTGCTTTCATATGTCTGCAATCTACGAGAACAGTTTTCAGAGCTGGAAGAGTCAGCACGCGCAGTCAGTGTGACACAAAACTACCAGTTCGACACTCAACGTGTGAGAAAAAGAAAGAGATTTGCAGATGAGTCTGCTGATGACAGCGAAGTAGCTTTTAATGACAGCAGTCAGAAATTTAAGGTTGAAACATATTACGTCATTATCGACAGACTTTATTCATGCTTATCCAAACGCATAGAAGCCTACACACACGTGTGTGTGAACTCTTTGGGGTTTTATTTGAGAAGGACTGTGATGATTGTGATGTGCGTGGAAGAGCTGCTAAGCTGAGCTTGACTTATCCAACAGATCTGGATAGCTCCTTGTCAGATGAACTTATTCAGTTCAAGCACTTTGTACAGCATGAGACTTCACCTGTACAGCTGCTGCAAGCTCTTGACAGACATGGACTTAAGACAACATTTCCGAATGTTTATGTTGCACTAAGATTGTTTTTAACCTTACCTGTGTCTAACTGTGAGGGTGAGAGGTCATTTTCTGTTTTGAAACGGGTAAAAAATGAGCTGAGGACCACAATGTCACAGACTCGGCTCTCTGCACTTTCTCTCTTAGCCATTGAACATGAACTTGTTAGTGGCCTTGATTTTGAAGATATTGAACACCAGTTTGCACAGTCAAAATCCAGAAAAAAGCCAGTATAAGATGCCAAATGAAAGCAAACATGCACTTCCTGATTATTTTGGATAAAAATTGTATTTTGCCAGGTTTTGTAGTATTTTTATCTTGTTTTCTACAGAGAAATAGTGTCACAGATGCAGCTCTGCACTCACTGTTGTAGCTATTGGACATGAACGTGTTGGTGGCTTTGATTTTGAAGATGTTATACACCAGTTTGCACAAAGTCCAGATGTCTAAATGTTTGTGTAGCACTAAAATGTTTAACTGGTTATTTGTGCTGTGACATGTTGTTCTATTTTAAAACAAGTTCAAATGAGCTT